AGTTTGACTAAATGCTGTGTTGTTTGACAAATCATGAAATACTACTCACAAAACTGTTAACATTCATTAACATGACGTTGAAAGCCTAATTTAAATGGCTAGTATTGGACTGTAAAGCTGGTTCGGTTAAAGATAGGATGTTTAGGAAATTGTCATCAGTGTCACTAACACTAGTTACTACGTAGTGACAAATGTTGGGATCCATTGGGAACACTCACTGAAAGCAGGTTCTTTCCATTGTGACTAGGTTGGCTCAGCCAGCATCGGTGAGTTGTGACGAACAAACCTGTTTTTCATGAATCTGTCTTTGTGGGCAAGTTTGTTGTCCAGCAAACGCTTTCAGGATGCAGGAGTACAAGTCCTTGTGTGCACTGAATGACGGGAAAGGAGAGACTGCATGATTTTTGTTTGGGTTGTTTTTGTTTCCTCCATGAGAATTGTTTTCTGAGAACAGCGAACCCCTTATTTATGCAATTTGCTGTTTGAATTTCACTGTAATTTATACTTTTATAAACAAACTCATTAAGTTTCCTCCTTCACCAGTGTTGTGTGTTGTGCATCTGTGAGCAACTCCTGACATTTGTGAGGAATGTCGGGTAAACACTAGCCTTCTCTCTGTGCCAGGAGCCTTGAAGGCCAAGGCAGACACAGACATAGCTCATTCTCAGTGGGGCACTGGGGCCCCTCCAGCTCCTGTGGGCACTTCAGTTTGGGGAGGGGTTTCCACCCACCCAGCCCCACCTTCCACACGAGTAGTCATAGTGGCAGGGACAGCTGTTTACTGGGCTGCCCTTATACTTCTTTGATACTTCCTCATTCAATCTTCCTGCCCCTCCCTGGTGGGCAGCGGTTGCCCCACACAGGTGGGACACATCCGAGGTCATGTGGAGGCAGCGAGGGTGGGAGCCCAGGATTGACCCAGGTTGCCTGACTCTACATTGGGGTTCGGAACCCCGTGTCGGGCTGCTTCCACGCCCATTCTGTGTGGCCCCAGGATGGTTTCGGTTACACGTCACACACGTGCTCGCCAGCCACCGCTGCTTAGCCAGTGCTGGTTCCCTGCTGAGAAAGCTCTTTGCGAAACTCACATGAGGGGCGTGGGTGGGGCGGTAGGTGCAGCTTTGGTTGCAGTGCCTTACAGAGCCCTGCTTCGTTGCCACTGAGCGTCCCCGGGTGCTTGGTTCCTTTCGTCCAGGAACGGCGGACTGCCTGCTGCCTGCTGCCTGCTGCCTGCTCCCTGTGTGTTAGGCGCTGGAGGGAGCCCTTGAGTGTGAGGTGGTCCAGCACGGGGCTGTGTCCATAGCTGTCACTGCCCGTGCCCGAGGGAATGCTAAGACCCCACTTCCTTTACAGTTGCCCGGCACGTCTGTCAGCCCCTGGGATTGACAGCCCATGTCTGCGTGGTGGTGCTTCCTGAGTGCCCCCCTGTAGTCAGGCTTGTCTTAGGCTGCGCAGCGCAGTCAGGTCGTCTTGTCTTATGTGTGGTCTGAGTGACTTCCAGACACAAACAGCAGGATTGAGTTCATGGTGCATCTCCTTGGTGGGACACTCCTCATTTGGATTTAAATGTATTTTCCAGCATCATGGTTTTCATTCTCTGAGTTATCCTTGATAGCAGCACATCTGTTTTCTGAGAGGCTTCAGAGACCACCTGATCCTGTCAAGAATTTTGTCTTTGCTTATGTATTACTTCAGGAGCTCTGGTGGCACAGTGGTAAGAGCATTGGGCTGCTAACCAAAAGCTTGATGGTTCAAACCCACCAGCCACTTCTTGGGAGAAAGGTGAGGCAGTTGGCTTCCATAAAGATTGATAGCCTTGGGAAGTCTATGGGCATTTCTTCTCTGTCCTCTAGGGGCACTGTGAGTCAGAATTGACTTGATGGCAGTGCGTTAGGTTTGGACTTTGCTTCCATAAGGATGGCAACCTTGGAGACACTCTGGGCAGCTCTCCTGTGTCCTCTGGGGCGCTGTGAGTCAGTATTGACTCCATGGCAGTGGGTGTGGTTTGGGCTTTGTTTCCATAAAGATTATAGCCTGGGAAACCATGGGGAAGTTCTACTCTGTCCTTTAGGGGTGCTGTGAGTCAGAATCGGTTAATGGCAGTGGGTTGGGTATTGGTTTTTGATGCATTACTACATTCACTCGATCGGGGGCGTATGTGGAGAGTCTCCTTTGACGGCAGTGCTGTCCTGAGTTTGGAGGAGAGAGCAGGTGATGGTTTTGCCTCTTCCTCACTTGGTGACTCTTTCTCTTTCTGCCAACTAGGCCATTGCGTTGACAGTAAAAGCCAGAGGGGGGAGAAGGGACACACAGGTGGTGAGGAGTTTGAAGCATCCACTTTGCCTTTCACCTGCGGAAGCTGTGGGTGGCACTGTGCTTCTCCTTCTCAGCTTAGGCTCCTGGGCAGCACGTTCTTCAGACGCACTAGAGTTAGCAGCCATGCTGACATGAAGCTCATTCCTCTCTCTCCTTTCTCTGGCAGGAATGTGCGTAGACCTCGGTGGCGCTCTTTAATCTCCAAGTACAGTCTGAGTGACCTGACCGAGACCACGCCAATGGGCTGTGACGGGCTCATCCGCGTCTTCTGCCTGAGCCCCGGTCTCCTGGTGGGACTCTGGAAGGTATGGTGGAGGTCCCTGTGTGTACTACGTCCTCTCCTTGTTCATGACCCCAGAGTTCTCCATACTGTGTGGGATCAGAGCCAGAATCCTTGGAGACTCTCCTAGCCCTGTCCCCTTTCGCCATCTTGCCAGGTTTGTTTTTCAAGCTATGCAACTTCTGTCCCAGGGAGGTGCTGCTGTTCCTCTATGACACTGACAGGCTTCGAGTGCCTGGAGCCTTTTGTCACCTCACACCTTTACTCCCATGGGGGTCCTCCAGCTGGTCAGCCATTCCATGTCCCTTGCTTCTGTTTCTTCATGCCCTGTGTCTGCCACAGCCTCTCTCATTGTGGCCTCTGAAATGGTTTGGATCCTGCACATGTGGAACAAGTACAGTCTGCCTTCAGCAGTCAAGTGTGGAGGGTTCCCTCCCACAAAGCAGGTGTCGTCACCAGATGAGGCCGATCGCTGTCCTCTGGGGCATTTCTGAGCCATCCTCTCAGAGATGAACTATGAAGGGCCCTTGTATAGTACACACTGGTTTAACCTGTGCCTTTGGCCCATGGATGCTTTCAGAGAGCCGTACACAGGTTTGAATAAGAATTGTGGTCTGCATTTGCAGACCATGACTAGACAGAATCAAGCCTTATGGCTTCTCATTGCATCATCCTCTCGCACCGTCTTTGTCTTTTCTCAGCCCACTGTGGTAGTTGGTCTCTCCCTTCTTCCTGCTTGGAGTGTGAGGGGGACTACAGGCAAGGTGGTGGTTTGCTTGCTCCGTCATACGACAGGAATGCATTGAGCTAAGCTTTGGCTGCACAGTGATGGTAACTCTCTGGCTGGTTTGATCACCTGCTATCTGGGTGTTAGGGAGTGGCACCTTCAGATTGAGTATCTTAGGCACCTCTCCCCATGCAGTGCTCGTGATGAATTTGGGGAAATCTGTTAACAGTTCCTGGCCCTTTGTTTGCCACTAGCTTGATGGGCAAGGGAGGGAGTCGGATCTCATTGTCCCTCCTCATTGGGTTTGTTAAATCAAGCAGTTGCTTGAGAGAGGACATTATGTGCCAGTGTTAACAGTGCAGTGGTTAGGCACTCATCTGCTAACTGAAAGGCTGGAGGTTCAAACCCAGTAGTTGCTCCACAGGAGAAAGATGAGGCAGTCAGCTTCTATAAAGATTACAGCCTTGGAAACCCTAAGGGGTAGTTCTACCCTGTCCTACAGGGTTGCTATGACTCAGAATCAACTTGACAACAAAAGTTTGCTTAGTTTTGTGGCTAAGCATTTGTGGAATTGATCTCTGTCTGTGAACATCTTACCAGAATTGTCTTTATCTTTGAAAAGAATTTGAAACACCTTGGAACTGACGATGCGTATTTTCAGCATCAGCAAACGTAGTACAGTATTTTGGTACACTGTGTACTGCATATGTGGGTGAATTGTGGTTTTGCTGTCAGTATGACATATACATCTTATTAAATAGTAATCAGACGTTAACACTGTGGCAATCTTGTAGTTGTTAGAAACTGCGTCTCTCTGCAAGATGAATGTGCTGCGGTCCTCAAAAAGACCTTGTGAAAAATTAAAATATCTCCATTGAAAATTGTGTTTTTTTTCATTAACTTTCAGAGGGAGGAAGAGTTGGCCCTGGTCATGGCAAATCTTCATTTCCATCAGCTTATGGAGAGGAGCACCTTAGGATCGGCCACTGTGTACGTATGGACTTTATAGACGTGTGTGTTCAGTTTTGTACATAAACTCATCAAGAAAGTATGAAAAGTTGATACTAGGTTAATATTCTGAGAAGAGTTACAGAGAAACTTTTTTTCTTTTTAAATCAGTAGACACAAGCCAACAGGCATAATTACTTAGCTGTTGTTTAAATAATTGGATTACTCACAAGTACAGATAGATTTTATTTACTCTGGGTTGAGCAGTGTGCCTAGGAGACTATGGTTTTATAAACCATATAGGGGCAGGAGAGCTTCATCACTAGTAGACTATGGTTTATGGGGCAGGAGAGCTTCATCGCTGGTAGACTGTGGTTCATGGGGGCAGGAGAGCTTCATCGCTAGTAGACTATGGTTTATGGGGGCAGGAGAGCTTCATCACTAGTAGACTGTGGTTCATGGGGGCAGGAGAGCTTCATTGCTAGTAGACTATGGTTTATGGGGGCAGGAGAGCTTCATCGCTAGTAGACTATGGTTTATGGGGGCAGGAGAGC